TAACTTTTATCAAAATTTACTAAAAATTTGATTTTAATCTCCAACAAACAGGGGCAAAATCACAATAAATTTGAATTTCGATAACATGCTAATTTTAAAAATTCTCCGACGATCGTACGCTAATCGAATTTACAAATTGCTTATGTCATCTTAAAGATTATTTCGAGAACTACATTATGGGCATATCGAATAATCCAAATAGATATCGAAAATAATTAAAAATACATTAAACGTGAGTTTTAAAAAAAGACGTCTAACTTGCATTTTTTAAAAAAATTCAATTATTTCATTAACATTTATTATTTTCGCGATACAAATTTCTCAATGTAATTTTCATCATTTTATTAGGAAATTTTATATGGAATATGATATAAAAAGTTTTCGAAATTTTACATCCGAAAAAGTCACATCCCATGTAAATTTTCGGATGTAAAATTACATGGTGTATGATTTTTTTGGACGTAAATTTTCGATTGTAAAATTTCTCTCTACTTCTTTGCAATTTTGATTGTGCCCCCCAACTTTTAAGTTTTGCGTCCGCTCCTAAACATTGCCATCACAATCTGCCCTTTTANTTTGCAGTTTTGATTGTGCCCCCCAACTTTTAAGTTTTGCGTCCGCTCCTAAACATTGCCATCACAATCTGCCCTTTTATACCAACAGGAACGTACATCAACCTACGAATCCGTCCGTCCGTTCTCTCAATTAAGGCATTCATGAGTTACAAAAGATTGACTCGTGTAGAAGTTTTTGCCTACGACTCACTTTCCTCCTCCATCACTAAGGTAGTCAGTTTGTCATGCTTAGGATATTCTCGCGCAAGGTGCGGCCCATTACAAATGAAAAAACCATTGGTTTTGGAGTCCTATATTTGAAGAGCATGTAAATAGCCCATTTTATTCCAACTAAAATATCACTGAAGATTTTCAGTCCTCAGAATCACCAAATGTCTGGTAATCACCTGGATCTCCATTTGTTCTTTCAATTTCCTATTTGGGTTTGAAAAATTTGCAAGAAATATTACATCTCCGTTTAGAAAATCGGGGGAATTAAAGTATATGACATTTAGGGTGTGTCAAACGCTGGAATTCTTGGTT